AATAGAATTTGATTGATTGATTCCAAAATTGGACCAAAATCATCTGGATCTCCCACTGGTGGCTGGCTGCAGTATAGGTCATAAACCCTGCCTCCTTCGTGTTAGTGGATGGCACATGGACCAAAGTAACAATTCAAAGCACACATTAAATAAATATTTCCTTAAGATAGTTTCTGTCATTTGATGTTTGTTGTTTTCGTTTCTCATAAATTTGGCGTTATTAAAGCTTTTACATGCAGTAAACTGATGTCACCTGCACTCATGTGGATATGATTTAATAGATTTTTACAACTAGATATCACTTATTAAATCATGTTAAATCTAAACGATTGAGAATTGATTTTTATAACTGGTATTGATTTCACACTTGATTTTTAGCTGCTTGTAAGTTATGATGATGTTGCAGGAAATAGATGAATAACGGCAGGATCAGTGTTATTGCAGAGCTTTATGTTGTCACAGTTAAGTTGGCTTTGACCTTCAGTCATCATTTCATTATTTACGTTTACATATTTGTCTGGAAATGTGTAATAATTATTATATTATTTCTATAACATAATGTCACTTCACCGTCCCAGGTGATGTGAACATTTGTGTCATCGGTAAATACACAATACTTAAAATTATGATAGAACCAAAAGTCTGTTGGATGTTAAATGCTGGATGCTCAAACCCACCTTTGACCCCAGGCTGCCAGATTTCTTATCTGAATATGTTGGACTCTGCTCCACTTTGGAATCGCTGTGCAAATTTATTTCCTGAGGGGGCACATGAAAAACACGTGTAAGAACAAAATACCAGGCTACTAAAATAGTTTTCTCCACACCCACTCTATGATGATGCATTTGTGTAGGCTGACCTCACAGGTTACATTTAGGTATATAAGTCAAATTGAGATTTGTATGAACATACAGATGTTGCGTCATCCTGGTCGAAGGAGGGGAGGCTGCGGTTGGGGACTTCCTCTTTATGGCAGGATGTGTGGTAAGGCTGAGACTGGGAGAAGTAGGCACTGTCCTGGGACGGAGGGGAGTCTGGGAGGTTGTCCTCTGGTATTTCGTCAGTGGAGGATGGACACAAGGATGACGCTTCTTTACAGGGATTGTGGGTCTTTGGAGAGGAGGAAAATCTCTCCCTCTTAAACTGAAATTGCTGAAGGGCAGCCAGGCCTGAGGTGGACTGAGGAGTGTTTGATTTTTCCATGGAGGAGGAGCTGCCCGACCATTTAAACAGCCTGAGGCCTTGACTGGCTGAACTGGGGGGTGTAGTGGTTGGTGATGGAGGTGGGCTTGGGGTGTCCACAGATGGAACATCAGGACCGTCGCTGTCACTGGTCTGGTTGCTGGGAGAGGACTTGTCCTCAGTGGGACTTGCAGCTGTGGGCTCCCCACCATGAGGTAAATCCTCCTGAGCAGACTCCTTGGTGCTCAGACTGACTGTGGAGCTGGAACTGCTGAAGAATCTGCATGTGGGAATAAACCAACATCATGATGATATTCAGTTTTTGTCTTATTCTGATTAATACACACTGAAGCTGTGTGACTATGAAAACTATACTATAGTTCCTATTCTAGCAGCCGGTATTGTAATCACAGGTACAGCTAATTGCTTAAAGGAATAGTTTTTTGGGGGGGAAATAACCATTTGGTTTGATTCAAAATGAAACCGGAAATTACAAACAGTCCGCACAAGAGGATGAAAGTCCCAAAAACTGACAGCGGTATCTAAAACCATCAACAGGTGGGATACCAGCTGCAAATCAGCATTACAAAAATAAACAGGGCTCCAAATAAACACCACTTCTAAATCTGTAAAATTACACATCTCTCTCATATAATTAACAATCTCGTTTGTTTAATCTGTACACATGGAAATGTAAAAACAGTAACTTGTGCTTTTATGGGGAATTACATGCTGGTACTAATCACGCAATACCGCCGGGCTGCATCTCTGGCTACAGGTGATGAAAAGTAGTGTGAAGTCACACCAAAGCAGCATTTAGAAGCACCTATGTATATATATATATATATATATATATATATATATTTTTTTTTTTTTTCAAATAACTGCACTCTGCCAGAATATAAAGTGCTGCGATAAAAAAGAGTACTGGTTGTACCTCATAAAAAGTTTGTTTTACAACCAAGTAGCAACCATGTTAGCTGACTAACCGATAGGGCTGACCAGTTGTAGCACAGCTCGACAGCTGCGGTGCTGCAGCAACTAGCCAGCTGATTAGTCACTATGTTAACAATCATATTGTAAGACTCATGTTAGTTTATGGCTTCCATTCTTTATGCTGAGCTAAGCTAACCACACCCTGACTACATGTCCCCTACTCAATGCACAGGCATGAACTCATTCATCCTGTACACTCTGAGAATGAGAGTGAGTACACAAATCTAAAACTGGAGCTCAAGTTAACATGACACATTATTATGTGCGTCATGTGTCCGAGCAGCTACCCATATCTAATTGAGCACATGAGGTGCAGCTACATCTTTCTTAAATGATTTTTTATAACTAAATCTTAACATTTCAGATAAACCATTTTTAGAAACACTGCTTTCAGGATTTGATCCCGAAATCTCTCTGATGTTGTAATTCTTTTGCAGTCCAAAGTGATTTTCAAAGAAATTCAAATGCATTTCGAGGCAACATATCACTGTACTGTTTATGCACACAGTTGTATAGTTATACTGTTTGTGTTGCTAACTCTCTGTTATAAACTTTTGTCGAGGAAAAGGTGATCAGATGTGGTTAAGTCCATATGATGTCACCTGCTGCATGTGGCCTGGCCATCCTCCTCAGCTTCCTGGTTCCTCCTCTGCAGCAGCGTGGCGAAGCGGTTGCGTGGTCGTGACTGACATGTGAATTTGGGCTTGTCAGGCTGTTGGTCTGTCTTGGACCGTTTCTGACTGGAGGAGGAGTACTGCTGCAGCACGTCCTGGTCGGATACTCCAGAGTCTAAGGGAGAAAGTACAATTCTGGTATTAAAATCACATACAATTTTTTATAAATACTTTCTCTGTCATAATAAGCTTTATACTGCAAGTTTATCTATTATTTTTTATTATCATCCTAGTATTTTGCTGCCAGTGACACAGATTCCTTAACAGATAGTATGAACAGATTCAATTTAATTAAAAGATGAAAGTGTTGAGTTGGGTGAATCAATTCTCTAAAAAAAAAAGAAATCTAGGTACATAGAAACCAAAAAACATATTTTTTTAACTTTTTACTGGTTTGGTCCATGACTATGACAAGTAGAATTATATAATATATAATAAATGATTTTATAAAATACAAATGATTGGGTTTCAACAATGATTGTCAAGCGAAATGGATTTCGAGCTGTAGATCTACTAAGAAGGTATATTGCAACAAGTGGCATGTTGCAGTGAAAACAGAGTAACAAGCTCACCTTCTCTTGGTCTCTTCACCTGCAGCTCTCTGCAGGGCAGCCTCAGACCCTGTAAGCCGATGACTCTCTCCTTCCCCCTGGTGGAGGAAATCCTGTCTGGAGACTCAGCAGAACAGGGCGGGGCAGCAGAGGTTGGCTTGAAGTCTACACTCCAGATACTAGGCCCAGTGGGAGCTGGTGAGTCATTCCAGTGCCGTCTGTGGCGTTTAGGCTTCTGACAAAACATTAGAGAAGTTGATAGAAATGAAATGCAACTCTTCATTTTGATCATCGGGTCTTATTTAACGGATGAAGTGATACCTGTGAAGTGGGTTTGTCTGGGTTGAAGTCATCGATCCTCGCCATCGTGTTGATGTCAAGGTTTCCTAAGGCCATTTGCAAGCCTTTCTCATCTCCTACATTTCTGGTTCAGCATTGTCAAGGGCACAACAGTGGTAGATTGAACTTAACAGTATCTATTCTGAAAGCAAATGCAGAGATGTGACACTTCATCGGGTGTTACTGATTTAGGATACAGTCCAGCGTAGCTGAGCGTGGCTGGGTCAATGTGCTCAGGGTATGGGTTGAGAGGTACAACCTTCCTCCTGATGGGATCGAAGACGAGCTGGTGGAGGAAGGTGTTGTTGGCTCTGATGAACCCCTCGATGTATTGCTCGGGAACCACTAGATTTGATTTCAGGTACTGGCCCATCTTCCTGATCACCTAATAAAGAAAATGCATGCATACAATATATATCTTAACAAAGACTGAAATGATACCCTATGATGTGTAATATCACTTTGTAAAATATATTTTGTATTCAATTGTAAATATTATTTATTAGGTGCAGTATTTTCTCATTGGTAAAAATGTAATGTATTCTACTGTGCAGTTGTTTCTTTTATAGTTAATTAATTTGGATTTTATTTGATGTACTCCAATGTAACAATTGTTGGTAACTGTAGCATTTGTGAGCACAGAATATCTTCTTTCATGCATCTCACTTGAAAACTCTCAGAAAATGGTGATGTCATATTTTCCAGTCAGCTGATTGGTAAGACAGCAGACATCTTTGTCTTGGTTTTAGTCTGATGACCTGAACATGCAGCACTGCCTTCAGAAGCAGCCGTGGAATCCCAAGTTCACTCAGGGTTTACATAGCTAAAAGCTTTATCCTCTTCATCTGGTCTTACCTTTAGGATATCCGGGTCTTGGGCCAGCCGTAGCAGCTTGCAGGCTTTGCCCAGGCCAATGCCATGCAGGGAGGCAAGATAGTCGCAGCCAGAGAGGATGCACATGTACCGAAACTTCTCCTCTGTGAAAACGTTCCCCAAGCTGCGACATCGGCCCAGGTTACTCTGGTCTATCTCCAGACCGTTGCCCTGCTTGTCCATTTTGAGAATCACCTAGATGATTGTGAAAGACGACTGATGAGGGGGGTAACTGATTTTGGTTTGGGTAATGTCTGTTTCTGTTGAACTTAGTTTGCTGTAAAACACACTGCACAACTATCCATGATATGATTCACGGTTTCTCTCCCCTCTAAATTGTTGTTATGAATAAAGTACATAAAGTAAGCACTAGTGCCCTTTCACCCATTTTGTTTTGTTTGAATAAACAGTCAGACACCTCACCCTTCACTACACAACCATCAGGGCTCCTCTAGACTTTCACATCCTCTCTTTCTCAGGCGTTGACATTCAATTTTAAATAAAATAATGGAAACTATATTAAGGTTTCAAACTACAGCTTTGATTTAGTAGGCTTGCATTGAATGTACAGTGCCCAAATCTTAGCTGTTTAAAAATAAGTCGACATCTACACAAAGTAAAACATAATCAAATGTAATATTTAGTGGAAACTCCTTTACTGACAGTGACTGTGTGAAGTCTTTGACCCACAGACTTTGTATCTTCTCTCTGATGATTCTCTCTCACAGCTTCTCTGCAGCCTCCTTCTGCTCTTTCTGTTGTGGGTTCTCTCTGTCTGTGCTTCACCAAGTAACAACTTTTGAAGCATTTGATCGAATCCGTAAACAAAAAAATACACCTGTATAGCTCTGATATGCATGAAATGATCTAGCAAGAAATCATGAATGAATGTGCCAGTGCATTCATTCCATCGGCAGCGATGGGTCACGAGCCATTACGTTGTTCTCATTTTCCTCTTTACATCATTTTGACAGAAGTTGGCTTTTATTTCATCAGTCCATTAAACTTTGTTCCAGAACTCTACTGCTGTCTTTTTACAGTGTGTTTTTGCAAACTCTATCTATCTTATTTAAATGTCTATCTTGATCAGTGAAAACAGAAACATTTGCATCTACATCCTGCTGCCAGAAAGACGGTTTTCTTCATCGTGCATCTCTATTTGGTATTGTGGATTATAAGAGACACATCTCATACACTGTTCTTTCATATAAATGTAAACCTACCCAAAATAAATGGATCTGACATTTCAATGTGGTGTCCATTATTTCATGTTCTTAAGTTCAGGGCTTGAAGAGAAAATGTGCAACAGTCCAAATATTTACAATCTTGTCCATATATACACCATACTGTGTATGGGGATGCAGTCCCTGGGTCTAGTTCTTCATACCTTTTTACATCCGAATGCCAGCAGGTCAGAGTCTTCAGTGATGACAGCCTGGGCCAAACCAGATTTAGTGAGGAAAGCTAGCTGAGCATCAGCTTCATATGGAGCCACCACACAGTCCACCCCTTTGGCCCTTGCAGCCTGGTAAAAAAAGAAAATCAAAGTCACACACAGAAAAAGAAAACATTTCCTGTTATACCAACATGCAACATATGGCACATAACCATAAAGCCTGAAATGAAACGAGAGAAACAAACACTGTGCCTGGAAACGTGCATATCTCTGGGGTTCATGAAGATACATTACAGATTGTCATCACATTTATAATCTTGTCATGCATTTTATGCTTTAGTTGTGGGCACATTCAAACTCATCTTTTGCAAATGTTACGATGCCAGAACCTATTTTCTTTTAAAACCAGAATGAGCTCTGAAGATGGGTGTGCTTTCTGAGTAATGACTATATTGATGCACTGCATGCTATTGCTTTTAGACCAATCAGACAGCCCCTTGTGTGGATACTAGATATTGACATATCAGTAACCTTTCATTGCTTGAGGAGGAGCATAGTGTAGGAGGCATTGTGGTAGTTTAATTGAGTTTGCCAGGAATTCCACCTGTCCTGGATCCAGACACTTCATGTGTCAGATTTGTTATCCTCCACCTTCTGTTAAAGTGTGTGAAACACAAAAGGCTGTTTCACTGCCCTTCAGAGTGCAGCTCTTATTAGTCGGTTTCTAAAAGTTATAGGGGTCTGAGAAATATCCTGAGTCTACACACAAGCACTCTTCACCCTCCAGGCTGCACTCAGAGTCCCTTTATGAGCTTGGCACACATGCTCTACGGGCCCATGGTTGATAGCTCATTCAGGAATTACACACAGTATGCCAGGCAGGAAGAGTGAAATAGAATGAGAGTTTCAAATGTAACATGGTTACGTGAATACTGGCTCTCTGACATTGTTCACCATCCCTTAGAATCTTGTAAGGTAGATTCTATCAGGGGTGGCTGCGAGGTGTCAAGCTTGTGCATCAGGATTCCTGTGTCACCCAGGTGATACATGGCTTTTTCAGTACTAGGTCTCAACCTCCTGCACATGTGCATGATGTATATGTATATTGAGGAACACCTCCTTTTACTGTCACAACATTTGTAACTCTGGTTTTTCCCTGTGCATAGGTGAAGATAACATTAATGGCGTTAAGGCTCACCTTAATAAGATTATGAGCCATGGCTGGTGTGATGTTAACACAGCGGGTGAAACAGTCCCTGGCCTCAGACAATTTGCCTTCGCGTAGCAGCTGTCGGCCTTTTTGAAGGTTGGCTTGTCTGCGCCTGAAAGGTACATGAATGAAAGCGGATTATTATATGAAACACTTTGGACTACAGACAGTTCCAAGTTCACATTGTACAAAGCTAAATGAGGAGAAGAGAAGGGTGATGTGTCCTAAAGCTGACGTCAATGATGCAAACCTACAAAAAAAAAAGCTGTCTGGGTAAATTACTGTTTTTTTAAAGGTATCTCCAGATGCAGAAAAAGGTTTAATGCTGTTGTGCCACTTTTTTAGCTGCAAAGACAAAATTAGCAAAGTGACAAATACACTGGACTTTTGGACGCTATGGAATCTCGATGTTAAAACATTCATTTGCGGGAATGTGTTTGGTCTCACCTGTCTACAAGTATGTGCATTCCTCTTAGCACCTTTACACAAACACTGTTGTTCTTTTGCAATTTTGGAATGCAGTCCTTCAAACAAACCTGTTTGAGTCAGTTTGTTTCCAGGAATGAGAAACACTGGATTATTGTGTTTGGTGCAGGACAACAGTATTTCTCAGCAACACTTGATAATGTAGATACACTTTTGCAGCATTCTCCACATTCCTGTTTTAGTGAAGTCCTATCTGACACATCTCCTTTTCAAAATGTTGGTGCAAGTATTGGTAGATAATTTTATCTGACCAACTGGAACTCAAAAAATGACGATACATTTTTGGGAGGGACTCCAGTATACACTTTCTACAGAGCAGCTGAACGACAAGACAACTTGCTTTAATTCACACATTTAAACTAAAAAGCAAACAAAACAAAACAAAAAAAAAAGATTTGTTCGGCCGTCAATATGCATGTACAAACGAGGTATACTCACTCTCTGCGAGCCTTTTCCACTTCTTGTTTGGAGGGCAGATTGCGTCCATCAAATACCAGCACTGGTTTGACACCAAAGGTCAACAACATGTCGACAAATTTCATGCAGTACCATACATATCTGGGTTTGGAAAAAATGAAAGTGCCAATATCAGTTTTGGGATGTTAAACCCTTGTTACAGGCAGATTACAAGGTAAATACTGGTGCTTGTGAAAACATTCGGACTCATCTAAAATAATGAACATGCTTACTGGTCAGTGGGTTCTCCTTTAGCCAGCTTCTCAGCACATGAAAACGCTCCTTTGTGGAGCCAGCAGTATGTGTCCACAGCCACTGTCTGGCCTCTGTATTTTTTCACACTGATGGGCTCAGATGCATCTTTGATGAACTGTAGTAGACCAGAGATTCCCATCTTCAGCTGCAGCTCTGAGTAACACAGACCCTGTGAAAGAAACAGCAAAATACTCAAACAAAGCTCACTGTTAATGATATATGACATTAAGACCATTCCTGAGAGCAAGCTTAAAACTGCCTTATAGATCTGTTATTATATCTTATCTTCTCAACTGGTACATTTACTTAACATTGAGTGAATGCAGCGAGTGGAAAATATAGTTTGATGGATAATCTTCCAGCATCTTCCCCTGTTTCATAAATGAGGCCAAGTACCTACAACATCTGAAAAAACCTGACTTGAACCATTTATTATTGTACATTACTGTCTATTATTGTTCCAATCATATTCAGTACACATGGTCCTGCTTCTAAAATTAAACTGATCGTGGGCTACAAAGAGACTGACTGACTCTGAAAAAGGCCTGATCATGGAAAGAAGTCTTTGTGATGTATGATAAGATTATTTTTCTGTGTGAGGTTTGCCATCTGCAGTCCAGGCTTTGAGGTCTTTTCCCTCAGCTGTGCCAAGGAATTGGGCAGAGAGATATTTGTTCCTTTCTTGCGATTAATAGCTATGCATTTATATATATATATATATTTTATTTTTTTTTCCCTTTTGGAAGAACAGGTCTGCAGCTTTGTCACCTCACAGTTATTTGACTTGTTGGTAATAAGCTGTCACTGTTTTGATATTCATTTTGTTCTTGAAGCTTTGAATTGTTTCTTTTCTACAACTTTATAAATGTTAACATCATAACATCGGTACTTTATTGTTCCATTCAATGAGTCTATTTCAAATTTTTTTAAAAAGAAAACCACTTATCTCTATGTGATGGACAGTTTAATCTTATATAATTACAAATGTCTTAACATATAATTATGTGCACTGGACATACCATCCAGACAAACTATACAACAAACCCATGATTAAAGGTCCAGTGAGTACGATTTAGGTAAAAGGATCTATTGACTGAAATAATAATAATCCTAATGATGTTTCCACTAGTGTGTTTCATCTAAATTGTACGAATTGTCGTTTTCTTTACCTAAAAATATGTATATATTTTATATTTACATATGGAGGCCGCCATGTTTTTTACAGTAGCCCAAACTGGACAAACTAAACACCTTTTGAGTTTTTGTGACAACTGAAGCTACCACAGGTTCTTTTTCATGTTTGGAAGGAGAGGGTGAGGTGAGGGGTGTTCAGCTGCAACATGCAACGTCACCACTAGATGTCACTGAATTCTACACACTGTACCTTTTTTTAAATTTTATTTTAAAGGTACAGTGTGTGGAATTTTTTGTATTAAATACTACAGCCAATAATGAGAAAAAGATAGCCCATGATTAAAATACAGAATAAAAAGGAAAGATATCAAAGATAAATATGTTAAGCGATGAGCATGTTAAGATGAAGTGGAATAACTACACATGTATGCAGATCTTGATTACACAAATATGCAGTATTGCTAAGTACAATAGTTAAAAACAGTGCATCTGATCAAACTAGATTTGCTTTATATTTCTATGAGTAGCAGTTCAGCTGGAGCTGAGGCCAGTGCTGAGATGTTTCCTGTGCTCTTCTCCTGGGAGGTGCAGTAAACCACTGCAGCCGAGCTCAGGCTTTGATTCATGATGCTTCTGTTTACAGGCAGCTCTCACATGGTCATGGACACAATGTCCACTGGTCTAAATAAAACCTTGTCAAACCATCGACACTGATCTGGTGAGAAGTTAAAACACACCATGTCCCTGTTTACCGTTATTCAAGCTTTCTGCGTGGGGACAGGGCTAACGTTACAGCTAGCTAACACCATCCAACAGTTTAACTGCACATTTCTGGCAACTGAAGAAACCGAATTTAACAAATAACTCAGACAGACTGAAACATGTTATCGATTTGTACCTCATGCTGTGGATACAGTTATTTACAAGCGTGTCAATGTTAAATCAGAGGGTTTTGAACGTGTGGTTCTCCGGGTGCAGCGCGTCAGGGAACACGAACGTCTCGTTTAAACCCAGAGCTGAGTTCTTCTGCTACAGCGACGAGACAGCAACACAACTAGTGGACACGTTCTCCGTTGAGACAACACAAAGTAACGGAGGCTGCACACAGAAGACAAATCATGCAAAGCAGGGAGTGAGGCGTTAAAACTCACTGACGTGCTGTCGATCGGATCCAAACACAGCAGCCGCTGCAGGAAGAAGAGGATTCTCCGGCGAGTTTGGTTTTAGCGGTAAAACGAGCGCTTTCAGTATGGCCTGCTGTCATTGGTCGGACGGACCGAGAGGGCGGGGTTAGTAGGAGTGCGTTGGACAGGGTTGCCATGTCCGCGGTTTTCCCGGCTGAACTGGGCCTTTCTGAAGGGTTGCCAGACACGCTGCCTGAAGTCAGACCAGAGTCAGAGCATAAACTGTATAAATGACTGTAAGACTGTAGTCAGAACCCAGGAGGAGTTAAAGTAGTCAGCTGCCCCCCATCTCCTTCAATGACATGTATATCATGACTCAACAAACGTGTTTGCTTCTGGTTTCATTCATTACTAATTACACTGTCACTTATTAGAATTAGTGCATTAAACACCTATGAGGGGGCATTCAGGGGTTCAGTGTCTTGCCGAAGGACACTTCGACATGCAGAAGTGAGGTCTAATCCCTCAGCCACAGCTGCTATCCATCCATTCGTTCATTGTGGCTGCAGGAGTCAGCACTTTACACTCTGCCCTAAGTATAAGGCTTTGGGCTTTGTATGTGTTTTAATATATGTTTTAATATATGTTTTTGTGTTGATTTTAATCTGGAGCATGAGTCTGAATAATACATGTAATTTATTTTATTTTAAGGGCAAAATTTAGATTTTTCTTTCCTTGAAGAAAAACCATAAACTGTTCATGAGAGGTTATATCCAGAAAGCAGACTAGATTTTTTTGGTTTTCTTGTTCAGAGCAAGAGGATACTGTATATTAAAGACCTATTGTGTTAAAATTGTTAATAAATGTTTCTTGAAATTTAATGCAAATTGCTCGTATTTATTGGTTAGTCACAAATATTTGTATTTTGTAATGTGGTTATTTTTCTTCCACAGTGGCCACATGTATTCATCTGGTACCTGTGACATCAACTAACAGTAGTGGTCTGAAAGACTGTGGTCTGATGGTTAGTGTGAGGGCGGCCTGGAACTAATCTTCGCATACCGTCTATGATTTCAGTCCCTGTAGCTGATACTGTTACTGAATGATGATTTTCTGTAATATTTATTGTTACATCACAAATCAATGGTTAGAAAAAAAGAGACAAACAAATGAAAAATGAAATTAGAAAAGTAATGACAATCATTACATTTTATTAAAAACTGTAATTACAAGTTAAAGCATTCACATTTGAGAAGCTGGCTCCCTAAAATGCTTCATATTTTTTGCAAGATAAGGACTTACCAATTTTCTGTCAATCGAATCATCAAATTTTAGAAGTTCTTCCCATGTTTTGGAAATAAAATCTTCACCATAACTTAAGCTGTTATATAAATTAAACTGATTTAAACATACAACATTTCCTGAACATAAAGGAGCACAAAGTACTATTCATAAATACTAAATTACATGCATAAACAAAGCTGTAAAGGTCTTCACCAACCACCTCTCTCTTTAACTAATGACTGTATGTGAAGCCAGAACATCTTGATCATCCCCCAGGTAGTTGGCTGCAGTATTTGTCACAAGCCTCGTCCTTTGTTTTCAGATGGGACATAATGTAAACTTTAAAAAAACATCCTAACAGATAAAAGTATAATAGTAGTGATAAATGCAATAGTGTAACATCACTACAACTGCAGCAATGATATAGCAGCATCAATCATACATTTTACAATGATAACAATAAATGATAGTTGAGTAGCAGTACCACATCTGGATCATGCAGCTCCAGAGTCACATACCTGCAGAATGAGAACAGGGAGACAGGACATCATATTTTTCTTTGAATAATCACCAGCTGTTCAATCATTGCATCAATCATTTCTTCACCCTGAATCTCCACTGATTCACCCATTACCTTAGAGCTTGCCTCAGATTGAATTATGGCTGATTTTGATATATTGAAAACATTATGATAATTAACTACCAGACCTTTAAAATGTTTATTTATACATTTTCATATCATAATCTGAGGATGTAAATAAAAAAAGACTTGCTTTTATTTGGAAATCTTCACATTTCAACCAACAGAAACTTAAAAAAATCATTACGCTTGCCAAAGAAAATCAAATATATAAAGCAAGAAATATTGAGTCAAACAGTGATTGAAAGACAATCTTAACAATAGTTTGTTTGTGTAGACTCTGGTTGGTAAATCTCTGGTGTCTTGTTTGACTGTAAAAAAAAGCAAACTAAGAATAAAGTTAATAAATATGAATCATTGCTTAAACTGAGCAGAGGACTTTTCTTAGTTGACCTGTATATTTAGAGATTCAGAAACTCACCATACAATATGGTTCTGGTGTTTTGGCAATAAGTTGTCTCGTTTCCCAGCTTTATGTCCCGCTCTGAATGCATCGTAAGACGTGTCTCCTTACCCAGCATGCCCCACTCTTCCGGCTTTTAGCAGCAGTGGTGACAGACGGAGCTACAACAAAATGACAGTTTAAACTTTAAACCGATGAGCTGTGGGCTAATGACAGCGTGGCTAACGCTCCCGGACACTTTTCACTGACCGCTCATTTAAATGTCATTTCTTTGGACCTGAGGTCGGGACAGAAATCGACAGGATGCAGTTTCCTCCCACCAACGGAGACTTCACGTTCGTGTCCTCGACAGAGGCTGAAGGTAGGCTAATGCTAATGCTAGCGCAACTCTACGGCTAGCAGGCCTTCAACCAGCCCACCACATACATGTTTACGTGTCTTGTTTTAGTTTTCACAAGGTGGCGAACGAGCTGAAATACGACGCCAGTCATTGCGATACTACTTGTGTCGTGCCGTTTGAAAGAGCTGCTGTGACGTGATTGTTCGTTGGGGGAGCTATAATCGGGTTAGCCAACTAAACGAAGCACTGCTACGTTGTTGTTTATGTTTGCACGAGAAGATCGAAGCTAGCAGACGTCACTGGAAACTGCTGTAAGGACACCAGAGACCAGTCAAGACGGACATGAAGGGGCTGCTCTTCAAGTCGATTAGCTCGGTGACAATAGATGCAGGATCCGGATTGAATCCTATTTACTCTCTTGTTTACACTGGTCTCTCAGCAGTTCTTACAGTAACGTCCTGAGGCAGATGGAGGCTGTGAGAGGGATTAATGTAAATAGATTTTAATAAACCGTTACATTTACTTCAGTAAACAGGGCTGGGTAATAGAAAGGTAGAAATGTGTATTTATTAAGCCAGTGTCTTTATATTTTGTTTAATAAATGGATGAATAGACGGAGCTCTACTTTTTAATTGATCACTAAGGGACATTGCAGTGTTGTAGTCCAAACATGACAAGAACGGATGAGGAAGTTGTGAATCATAAATCAAATATTAAGTTGATACATATGCAAACTAGTAAGATTATATAATGTTGGACAATGGTCGCAGTATGTAATTTACAGCAGTGCAGGTCAGGTTATTGTTCTTTACCTCTACAGTTTAAGTGCAGATTTATCCTTTGCCAAATATTCAGATACTCGTTGTGAGGGTTAGAAATGCAACATTTGAACGTTTACAGATTCGTCACTCGTGTAAACAATGTGATGAATGTGTAAATAAACATGTCCTCCATAGAACTCAGCGGCACCATAAGTGCCCCAGACATCAAGCTAAACATGGGCAGTGACGGCGGGAAAGACCCGTACGCCACCACCTTCCTGAGGCAACGGGGCTACGGCTGGCTGCTGGAAGTGGAGGAGGATGACGGTGAAGAGATCAAACCTCTCCTGTGAGTAAATGTTCTGTCCAGTCTTTTTCTCTGTACAAGCATGCCTGTTGTTTAATGTAATTTGGATCATTTTAAATTGTGGTGGGAGACAGACACATCTGCATCCTTGCTCAGTGTAGGAAAACCAACAACAGAGCAAGTTCGGTTGGTTGACAATGGTTGGTGGATCTGGTTGCATCCCCTTATGACAGCTAATACAAATTTCATTTGGTGGCTGCTACTACAACTCAACTGTAGTATAAACATACAGTTAAAGTGCACTGCAGTAAAAATGAGAACCTGCTTACCAGCTGATTAGCTTTAATCATGAGGGAACTCTGTGTTGTGATATCACAACTTCACTTATACATGATGGCCAAACAGTTTGGAGTTTTAGAAGAATTTGTTTTAATTTGGTTCAGATCTGATCTCAATAAAAAGAAAGCAGCCCTGATGTCATCCTTCTTGTTGCGATTCTGTATTGCGTGTGCGTGTGTGTGTGTGTGTGTGAGAGCAGGGAGGAACTGGACATTGACCTGAAGGACATCTATTACAAGATTCGTTGTGTGCTGATGCCAATGCCATCGCTGGGCTTCAACCGGCAGGTGGTCAGAGACAACCCGGACTTCTGGGGCCCTCTGGCTGTGGTGCTGCTCTTCTCCATGATCTCCATCTATGGACAGTTCAGGGTGAGCAGGACATAATAAATACCACTGTCTGATCTTCATTTGTAAAGTCAAGCATTTTCCCACCATTTTAGGCCTTTTTAGGAGATGAAACAAAACCTCCCTTTACCAATTACAGCAGACGGTGCACTTCTACCAACTCCCATAACTTTGCAGTTCTGCTGGAGAATTCAAACTATTCACTTGTGGCTGAACGACAGTGGTTTAAACCAAACAGGGCCTTAGGAGGGAGGGGCTACTGGCAGATATGGGTGTCTTGGGTGTGACAACAATGACAATTGGCTGTTTGTTAAAGGTCCAGTGTGTAAGATTTAGGTGAAAGGGAACTATTGGCAGAAATTTAATGAAGAATAATCCTCATGATGTTTTCACTAGTTTGTTTCATCTAAATTGTATGAATTGTAGTTTTATTTACCCAAGAAAAGGCCCTTTATATTTAAATACTTAATTATTACATTCAGGGGCTCCTCTCTACGGAGGCTGCCATGTTTTTTACATTAGTCCAGACTGGACAAACTAAACACCTTTTGAGTTTTTATGACAACTGAAGCTACCACAGTTTCTTTTTCATGTTTGGAAGGAGAGGGTGAGGTGAGGGGTGTTCAGCTGCAACATGCAACTTCAACACTAGATATCACTAAATTCTACACACTGTACCTTTAACAGCAGCTTCTAAGGAGTATTAGCATAGTATGATAGATGATGAAAGACAGATAGTTCATCCAATCACCCACCAAATACTTAAAGCCCCTGCCCTTTGCTAAACAGACTCCACCAAAACCTTTACAGATGGTTCTGTCTAACAAACCATCTGGTTAGTCAGCTTTTTAACTTGTAGTTCCAGGGCCTTGGCACCAGAGGTCAGTCAGTAGAATCAAAAGCAGAACCTGGATATGCATTATGTTGCATTTGTTTAGTTCCTACAGTGGACTAGGGGTTAACTTGAAAATATCAGAATAAATATAAAGACTAGTTTGAGCCGTTTTAGTTCATGTGGTTAAATCATGTTGATAATATGATGTGAATGGCACATACTTAGTTAAGTTAATTGACTGTTTTTAAGTGATGACACCAAACTCTGCTTTGATTTCACAGGTTGTGTCTTGGATCATCACCATCTGGATATTTGGATCATTAACAATCTTCCTGCTGGCACGTGTCCTTGGTGGTGAGGTAGGTGCAGCCTCTTCATCCTCTTCAGCCAGTTGAAATATCATCATACTTGACACTGAAGTTATTATTATATATCATAAACATTTTCTCATGGAGTCTTGTCCTGTGGTTCTTTTTGGTAGGTGTCGTTCGGCCAGGTTCTCGGAGTGATTGGATATTCCCTTCTTCCTCTCATCGTTATAGCCCCTCTGCTGTTAGTGATCAGTCAATTCGAGGTTGTCTCTACACTAGTCAAAGTAAGTCAAAGACCACATAGTAATGAAGATTCTTCTTCATTCTGTGGAGTGTGTGAGTGTGTACAATGACATTTAATAGGAGGGTCTGCCTACTTAATGCAGTACAATGCAAATGTATTCTGTCTGCATTACAAAACAAAGATTATGCTTCTTTAATGTGTTTGCGGCAAAAAAAATTGTTTTTGTTTTCATAAATACTCTACATTATAACTGAGCTTTTGTCTTTTTAATACACTTTGCATATCGTTACGAGAATTACTTTATAATACTATATATTATATTATTATTTGTAGTCTAATATCAGAAACTCCGAGATCAACCTATAAGGTGTTACTTGTGCAAACAGAAGTCCTTCCCTCTGATTACGACGCAGTTCTGTGATTTGCAGAAGAAGCGACGCCCCATTTATCCAGGAACATAAATATGAATTCATCAGGTTTTTATAAAGATCAGTTCATGTGAGTGATTAGAAAACATCATGATTTAAGATAAGATAAGATAAAACTTTATAGATCCACACACTGGGAAAATTCAGTTGTTACAGCAGCAGGCACGTCATAACGAGGTAGACAAGAGAATAGAGAAATATAAAAAGGCAATAGAATAAAAAACATTTGAAACTAACTAATTTTTTTAACTAAAAAAATGATGAATATGTACATTATATAAGCTTTTTACTGTAGTGGTTTGTATGGAGTGTAATAAGTAAAGTGCAGTGTCACAGGATGATTGTATGAGCAAGTAAAAAGAAAAAGAAACAATTTTGAAGTTTGTACATAAGAAGAACTTTGTACATAAACACACGATATGAAAAAAAATACTGTGATAATACTTTTTTCCATGTTGCCCAGCCCTACCACAGAGTGAAGAAATAGTCACAGTTGTGTTTTGAAAAAACAAAAAGTGCCTGCGCTGCCTGCCAGCTGGTGGCTCTGTATCATAGCAGAGGTTGCACCTACTGACGTCTGACTCACCAGCATTTAGGCGTCGGTGAAGTCCACAGAAACCGGTCGCTCCGCATTGCTCAGCTCACCCTTTCCATAACAAACAACATGTGATTCCACCTATGTTAGATTAGTAGTCAGATGATTTGAGCCAAGACTTGGTTGTAAAAGTTTACAGTCCGCCATGCTGTTTTTTTCCAATGCTTTGTTCAATGACGTGGCTACAAAAGAAGTGCAGTGATTTAAGTGACAAAATGTGTCACCTCATCGGCTTCTCAACCCATGACTCGATTTTTTGGGGCAGCCCTAGAAGCAAAATCAGGCCCCAGCATGGTGGATTCATTTGTGAATTGAATCTTCATTTGCAGGAAGGTGGAAATAAAAATGCCTTTGCTTGAGTATGCAGGCAAAGCTTCTTTGAACACTTAACTCTGGTGAAAGAACCACTGTTACTAACTACAGTAAACAGCCTAAATGAACTCGTTCACTGGTTTAAATCCAGCACACATCACATCATCAGCTCTTTCATACACTTCTCTAGGAAGAGTATACAAAAACCTCTTACAAGATAATTAATATACATAAACGTTAAATCACTATCATAAGCCTGCTGTTAGTATGTTTGTTGAAACCAGACAAACTTTGAACCTCTATCAATCAATCAACAAAGACAGATATAGCATGTTAAATGTCCTTGTGATATTTGTAAACAATGAAACTCAGGAACACTTAAGAAATACAGTGTTCCAACAACATGACAAAAAACTTTTTAATCCAAAACTGGGATCAGAACACAAGAACTACCCTGAATAGTTCAGCCTGTTAGTGAATAAGTTCATAACTTAATGTGAGGACGGATGCAGTGAATGATAATAATAATAATAATGTCACTTAAAAAGATGAATGTGCCAAGTGATATTTGTTGGTCAGAAGTATTGATGGATAAATGTGTTGAAACTTTCCGCTCTGCTCTTGTGTTTCAGCTGTTCGGAGTGTTCTGGGCTGCTTACAGTGCTGCTTCCCTGCTTGTCGGAGATGAATTCAAAACGAAGAAGCCCCTTCTCATATATCCCATTTTCCTTTTGTACATATACTTCCTATCGCTATATACTGGTGTGTGACGGGATGAGTTGAATCTGTGGACCTTCTAACGGACAGTGACCCTGGAACATAGGGGAATGAGTCAAAACTTCAGAACCAGGATTTTTTAAAAAGGTGTTTATTTCTTTTTTAACTCTGTTAAATTCCAGATGACGGGGATGCTGGGAATACAGTATGTATCAATGTATATAGTTTTGTCCCTTTCGTCAATAAAATGTTTATGTTGTTTGCACAGCTTCAACTTTGGTATGCAGACTTCTCGCTCACCAGTGCAATACAGTCACAATTGTCCTATTTTTATTTGTAGTTCATAAAGCTTGAAATAATCATAGTTCAACATTAATGTAATGATTTCTTTGTCCTAACACTAAAAATGTGTTGCCAAATATTTGCGGTTTTCTTTTCATTTTGAAGGAAGAAGAGAGGCAGCACCACACAAGAAGATTGTTGAGCAGTATGTTCGTTATTGTTGTTCACTGTAATGTACTATGAGAAATGTACATTTGTGCTTTTCATTTTTTTATGGACATGTCAGTTGATTTATGGGTTTTAGCAGCAGAAGCAGATGGACTGGGGCAAGTTACAGTGATATGAACCATTGTCTACTGAATGTGGTGCCTTCCCTCCCTTGAGTCCTGTTTGTCACTGGTTTAATACGGGAATATAATATTTGATCACCAATTACAGTAAATTATAAGAGTAATCATTTGGTATTTACTGACTTATTACTACATCACATACAGTCAACAAAAGCTGGTCACACTAATATAACAAAGAATGCTGTATATTAAAACACATTTGAGTTGGTCTCCATTGGATTCACTCACAAAACCTCTTTCAAAATAATGGCTTTTGAATAAATTCCTACATGCTAATGCTAGACATCATTTAAAATAACAAAGGTTGTTGGTTGTCACATTAGAAAAGTGACTAAATGAATTGTACTCTTAATGTGTATTGTGAGTTTACAGCTGCACTACCGCCTCTGTGAGGCTGTACTTAAACACAGCAGTGCTTTCAATGCAAATCATGTCAACATGCTTGAATGATGACCATGTCCATTTGCTCAATTACTGAGTGAATGGAATCAAAGAAAATGACTGATTACATAGGTATCCAGAAATTGAGCAAAAGTAACCAAGTACAGTAAGGTTGAATGAGGAGGTGCCTTTTCCTTTGCATCATCTGGTTGGAGGCCCTCGTGTCAGATTTAAAAACATTCTTGATTTAAATAAAACAAACTCATTTCAATAAAATGTCATAACAATATGAAATGATGTCATCATTTCATACCCTTTCTGCTGTTTCACCCACAATTTATTCTTTCCATGTTGGTCCTACACCTCAAGGTCTTCAGTGTGTTGCATTGTGGGAGGACAGTGTGATTCAACAGAATAACTGTTGTGGTTCTCAGGTCCGAGCAGACTTAATCTCATACTTTCTGGGTGAACACAATACACACAGAGACAAGTTCCAATCATTTGGACTCAGATGAGAATGTTTTCAAAGGTCACTTATCAGGGTGCCTGTGGCCTCATGTTTTCTGAATGATTTATCAGGGATGCTAGGAGTGAATTTAATTACATTTGGCACAAACATTCACTTAGACTCGAAGATGAGGATAGGAACTCGGGGGGGGGTCAAAGGCTATCATCCCTTGCATTTTGTTTTTTGATCAGCAGTCAAAAACTGAAAATAAGCTACTGACCATGATTATGAAACAAACGTCTGAACATTTTGAAACTAAAACCAGAAAAGAGTTATTTTACATAATTGACAGAAGCAACTGATTGATTGAAAACTGTCTTGATTTTATTTTAGTTGGTTGATAGACAATTTACCTATCAAGCACTATATTTGATATATACTATATTTATATTTGATGTGTTATTTATAGAATGGTATAAATTCTGTTAGATACTTTATTATTTAAAAGTGGCATAAGTCTGTTTATGACGTCAACAGACTCCAGTTAGGTGAAAATAAGCTTGTGGATGAACTTTTTACAGAGCAGAAGTAATAATAAGAATACGTTTTATTTATATAGCGCTTTAACAATGCTCAAAGACACTTAAAAAACACAGAAGTTAAATAAAAGCAAATAACTAAATGAAATACACATCATCTCAATATACTGTTTTACACATTGTGTGTTACACAGTGGACACAAACTGCTTTAGACTCGACTCTGATTTAACACAGTGCGGTAGCAGATGCGTTATCTGCAGTGCTTCAACACCCTAATTGTGAAATTCCATGTTTATTTGCAAATGAAACCAGTGACATATGTGCTTACATAGTGTAGTACTTTACAACCTGTTCAACAGCTCTAATGACTTAAGGGATTCATATTTATAATAAGTTTTATTTTTCATTAAACTTTTATTGATCCTCAAAGCAAACAGCACGGGTATAAAAAGTTCTCTCAAACCCATGTAGGTATATCAACTTCCTTAATAGCAGATTGTCTACTGGCAGAAAGCCTGGCATCGTCCACCACATTAAAATCAGTGACTTGTTTAATGTTGTGGCTGATTGGTTCATTCTTGACTTGGTCAGGCCATGAATCCAGTGGTGCCTTTGATTCAAACATATTTTTACTGCCAGTAAGGTATTTACAGATCATAAACCAGATCAATCAATCAATCAATCAAATTTTATTTGTATAGCCCGTATTCTTCTGCCCTTAAGCCTCAACAAGAATAAGGAAAAACTACAAAAAAAAAACTTTTAGCAGGGGAATCTTTACATCATAGAAACCTCAGAGAGAGGCACATGTGAGGGATCACTCTACCAGGACGGACAGAAGTGCAATAGATGCCATGCGTAATGGGGAACGTCAGAAAAATACGAGTAATTACAGAATTGGTTAGAATAAACAGTTTGTAGCATGATGGAAGGTAAATGAATTGAGGAATTATTGTCAGCAATGGTAGAGTATCTGAGTAGACATATTGTATATCAAGAACTTAATCATGGTCCACCACTATGATCAGATACAGGATCCACCATGATGATCATGATCTCTGATTTGCATAAGGACCATAATGATCTGTGTGAGCACAGCACACGATGACCATATGGGGTGGTGGGTGGCTGTTGGGGGGGGTGCCTTGCTTGGGGTGCAGGGGGTCCATCTGTCCTCTTGGACTCTAGCAGATCCAAGTCTGTGGACTTGAACCAGTGACCTTCCAGTCTGATGTGTCTCTTTTCAAGCCACTGGTCTAGTAGGCCACCACCTGGGGGAAGAAGTCCAGTCAGTAACGTATATTGATGAGACATTAATTTATTTGATGTGAATCCATGTGTTATGTGTTATATGTCCCTCGACATTCTAAACCTATTGCAGCATAACTAAGAGCAGGTCGAAGACAAGCCTGGACCAGCTCTAAAATAAGCTTTATCATAAAGGAAGGTTTTAAGTCTACTCTTAAACATAGAGAGGGTGTCTGCCTTCCAAACTGAAACTGGGAGATGATTCCACAGGAGAGGAGCCTGATAGCTGAAAGCTCTGGCTCCTACTCTACTTTTTGATACTTTAGGGACAAGTAAGCCTGAATTCTGGGAGCACAGTGCTCTAGTAGGGTGATATGGTACTAAGAGCTCTTTAAGGTATGATGGTGCCATATTATTAAGGGCCTTGTAGGTGAGGAGGAGAATTTTAAATTCCATTCTCATCTTAACTGGAAGAATATAGAAATGTGATCTCTTGTGCTGCAGCATTTTGGACAAGCTGCAGGGTCTTTAATGACTTACTGCTGCAGCCTGATGATAAGGAATTACAATAATCAAGTCTGGATGTGACAAAGGCACGGACTAGTGTTTCTGCATCTTTTTGAGACAGGACATGTCTGATTTTATCCGGCCATTCATTGCCCATGTTGAGAACTGCAAGATATCTAATCATAATACATTTTGCCCCTGATATTATCTGTATGATGCTGAATAAAATATCTTGTCTCTTCTTCAAGCCAGTCATTCTTTGTGTAGGAGTGATGTGTGGTTGACAACACCACCATTTCTCTCTCCCACTTTTTAAATTTCAAATATCCATTCTCAATAATTGTATAGTTCTTTTTGTGTGCTCGTTGAAAGAAAACCTTGTAACCTTCAAATCATGTAAGTGTGACTATATCTCCCCTATTTTTAGCCTCCCTTCATCTGCTGCCTGTGTGTTCTGAAATTGATTTTACATTATTGCTGATGACTGTCAAGACCCTGCATGGCTTGGCACTGGGCGACTTGGCTAAGCTTCTAAATCAGTGCTTGCCAGCCTGTAGCTTGAAATCATCTGATGACACCCTGTCAGCTTTTCCTTGGCCAAAGTTGAAGACCAAGGATGAAAGTGCTTTTGCTGTCAGGACCCCGACACTCTGGAACTCACACTAGAAACTTCAATGTCTGCTTTGAAATCATCTCTCGAATGTCTTTTACATTCTTTATTTTAGCTTTACTTTTTTCTTTTATCATTTTCTTTTACTATAACATTTTCACGATTTCATGTGGTATGTCACTTGCTGGGTTCGATTTTTATTGAAAATGATATTGTTTTGTTGTACTGCTTGTTTGTTTGTGTCCTTGTTGCTTTTATTCGTTTTTTTCTTGACATGTTCTGTAAAGCCTGTTTTAAAGGGTAAATAAATACATATTTTTTATTATTATTTATGTTATTATTATAATATAATTATTACTTGGGTTATAATAATAATTATTATTACTTGTGTTATTATCATCTGTGTTGTTGTTATTATTATTATTATTTTGTTTATTTAATTATTTTTATTTTTATTTAATTATTATTTTTATTATTCTCATTACTTGTGTTATTATTATCATTGTTGTTATTATTATTATTATTTTATTTATTTAATTATTATTATTATTACTTGTGTTATTATCATCTGTGTTGTTATTATTATTATTATTATTATCATTGTTATTATTTTCTTTATCTAATAATTATTATTATTACTAGTGTTATTATCATCTGTGTTGTTATTATTATTATTGTTATTATTTCGTTTATTTAATAATAATAATAATTATTACTAGTGTTATTATAACCAGTGTTGTTATTGTTATTTTGTTTATTTAATTATTATTATTATTGTTATTATTATTTTTGGTGTTCCCAGTCAACCCGTGTGTTCTCACTTGGACTCGGTGTTCTCGCGAGAAGTGGCGCAGAGATACGCTAGCTCCGTCTACCTATCGTGTAAACTGACAGAGCCGAGCCCCGAGTTCCTTAGCGCTGATGGTGAATAGCCACCACTGCGGTGACGGGCGGAGGAGAAGACGCCGCAGAAGGAGTCCGGAGTGGCAGAGGAGCGATAGTTCGGAGTTAGTGTGGTAGATTTAGCAGTATTACGTGTATCATCGGATCCTAAGAACGACCAAAAAGGAAGGGAAGGGAAATATAGGGAAAGATGGCGGCCGCGGCCTCGCCGGGCTCCGGCTCGTCCACCTCCTCAGACTGGATTGTGCTGAGAGACGGTTGCCTGCGTTGCGACGAGGAGGGCCTGCGAAGCCTGTCCTACCACCCGGCCCTCAACGCTATCCTGGCCGTCACCAGCCGCGGCAGCATCAAAGTCATAGACGGCACTTCGGGGGCCATTCTCCAGGCTTCAGCGTTGCACGGTGAGCCCCGGAGCCTCCTGTCAAACCCTGACGCCGCTAGTTAGAGATTTGACAAACCGACCGCTG